GAAAACTATATGGAAAGTTATGGCAATATCTAATTTTAGACTTTATTCCCGTGATTAATCAACCCTTAGCTAATAATCCTACAATCATACTGACGTAATTGTAAGGTCAAACGCTTGACCCCAGATAATGGGAGATCGTTTTCGAACAACGCAACCTCACGTATATTGATGCTATAATTGGTTCCAATTTAATAAGCGATCTGCAACTACAAATGCAAGAGCTCTACGATTATAAATAAACGCGGTATTCTTTTATAATAAAAGTTTAAACAATTGTTTGTTTTCAAATTTTCTATTTTTTCACAAGTTTCTAATGTTAAATATCTTATTAATTTTTAATTAAAGCCCGAGAAATTAAATAAAGATTTTATTACTTATTGGATAACTCCAAAATCTAGATCTCGATTTCAATTTCTACAGAAACTCGATAAGGAAAGATCATTATGTAAAAGTTTTCGTTTTACTTCTCGTTGTTTTTCCGCGAAACCCTTTATTTACAAGGAAATAATCTCATGCATTGTACGTAACTGCGGTCAAGTAGAGCTTGTGCTCGTACACTTTTCGAGCGTGTTTGCACAATTTTTTTTTCTCGTAAAGGCGCGATGGGAATATAGGAAGATACCCGATAAAAACGTTACTTTTTTTTACTCAACAATCAACAACGTTGTTTGGTCAAAAAAATAGAAATATACATATTCTAACGATTCTAAGTAATTATCCTTATAATTAAAGACATTTTTCACAGTATTGATGCATAAAACCCTCGAATAATATATAATGATGTATGCTTAAGGCCGGTTGTTTCAACCTGTTGGTAAGCTTACTATAAATTAAATCAGATGTCTATCTTTGTCTAATGTAAAGGATAAACAAAGACATATATATGATTTAATTATTAGTTATTTTACCAACAGGTTGGAACAATTGACCCCAAGTACTGCAACGGCATTTGAAGTACAAGATTAGAACCTGTGCGTGAAGTTAGCACCCCATTTTTGAAATTTTGAAATTTTAAAAGTTGTTCCGGATTGTTCTAGACTTGTTCTAAATTGTTCCAGAAGATCAAATTTTTAAAATAAAAATATTCGAAAATTAATAAAAACGATTTTTTGACCTGGCACCCCATTTTTCAAAAATCGAACTTTTCAAGGTTGTTCCAGGTTGTTTTAGTTGTTCTAAACATTGTTCCAGAATATTAGTTTGATTAGTCAAAAACTTTAAGAGATATTGAAAAAAGAAAAATTTAGGAATTAACAGTTTTTGGCCATTTTTTCGTAAACAAAATGACTTACAAAGCTGTCGATTTAGAACATATTTCTAACAGCGTAGAACAACTCAGAAAAAAATTGTTAAGACCAGAACATGATCCTAAAGGGTATATACTTTACTCTTTATCGGAAAATTTTTTTTTCGATTTTCTTGGTTAAAAATCTTGTTCCAGGCTTCTTGTTTTAAAACTATCGTGTTCTCTACTGGAACAACTTAGAACAAAATTTTTAAGACCAGAACAAGAACCTAAAGGGTACTTTACTCTTCGGAAATATTATTTTTCGATTTTCTTGGTTAAAAATCTTGTTCCAGGCTTCGCTCGTGCGACCATCACACTCATTTGGGCTCGACCACTCTTCCCACGAGTTGTTCATACTATTTTTCCTAACAAGAGCGTGAAACAGGCCGCTTTTCGCGCTTGTTTTACAATTTCATTTCTCCACTAGTTGAGAAATGGCTCCATGTTTCAACGCTTACGTCATTGCGAAATGGATCGTTTTGCTCACTCAAAACAAGCGCGAAAAGCGGCCCATTTCACGCTCGCGTTAGGAAAAATATATTTTACGATTATTATCGCGTGATAATAATCGCAAATGATCACAAATGATTCTCTTTCATAGCAAACAATATGTATTGCACGTGATTTTTAAGAGGACAGGGAGCGAGAGAGGAGAATCAAAAAGGAGGCGGAACAAACGCGATTTTAGATAATTTATGCATGGACTTAGGAGAACCGGTCAGTTTAAGCAGCAATGTCGTCTGATGTCAATTGACTTAAGCTAGTTTGGCGAGTGGGCGTCGAAATTTATTCCTAGAAACACTTGCGCGAATTGAAGCGAATCAATCCGACGCGATGCAACGCGACGCGGCGTTTCGCCGATCCTTCGTCCGAGACGCTCGCCTCCTATCTTATTTTTCTCCGTTTGCTTTTCTTTTTATTTGCTCTCTCCCGGCGACGTTTAGGAGAGCGCGGCGCGGCGTTAATCTGAGCTTGATAAGAGAAGTACAAGCCGAGTGTAATCGGCCATGAAGTTTTGTAACATCGACCGAGAGGAAAAAAGAAAAAGAAGAAGGAGGAGTCGTTTGTTCTGTGTGACGCAGTCTCCGCGCGACCGTAATTGCTAACATAATAACACGACACGTAAAAGCTGCGACAAGGTGTTGGTGTACATAGACGGGCATAATGGATATAAGACCGATAATCGAATATAAGGCTGATAATCGGATATCTAGACATGAAAGAATGCTGTTTTTTCGTAGCAAGTTTTAGTCACCTTCAGATTCCTAAGGAAGTCTCAGAAAATCTCATCAATTATATTGTTTTTTTTTTTTTAATTACTTATTATGAAGTGAGCTTTGTAAAGTCGTTACAATATAACGTTGTAAAGTCTGTCGCTTGATTACAAAGATATTTGGAGTTAAATCTCGGACTTAGAAAGAGAAGGACGGTGCGTTAGATTAAATCTTTAATATATAAATCGACTTGCAAATTTCTGTCAGAAAATTGATTTTTCTCATAGCGAGACACGGCGTTAAAGAAATTTCATGTCATCGTACATCTACTCAGCCCACGAAGTTCATGCAAGCAACTATGCTATCGATTACATACGGCCAGGTATGACTCACGCACTCAAACCATCGGTGATAAATATCACGATGGGTACTTGTCCGGCGCGGCGGCGCCCTTTGAAACAGTAGAGTGCTCGTCATTCCTTGCTAATGTCGTTAACTTCATTACAACCGGCGCGTGATTCGCGTAAAAGGTCAAGTAGAACCGATTGCATTTAGACCGTGGACACTATCATTTAAAGTTGATTAGATAAGGCGAGATGAAGTTTTGATTCGCATAACGGTCTATCAGAATTGTCTTCTCGAAGCAACGATCTTTAAATAGCAAACGTCTCGCGATACCTCGTACACAATAATTTTTGAGACACGAATGAGGAAACCGTTTACCCTAATTTTAACTTAGGTCTCTTTCGACCTCTGTCGTTGAAATAGATCCTTTTTCAATCACGAACTCCAGAATTATGGTATAAATATATTGAAAACTGTAATGTATTGTACTCGTTATCTCTGATGCGGTTTTACCTTGTAAAAGTAAATCTATATGTAAGAGCTCGGGCTGAAAAAGAGATCTACCTGATGATAACGACGATACCGATAAAACACGTAATACAAAACGTAGATTAGCGTTAAATAGAAAATACCGTCGCGAATATATCGTCGTATTATGTCATCATTGATCGCGATTTCAAACTCATGGAATATTACCCGAAGCTCTGCATGTACTCCGTACGATTCTTATCGTTATCGTTTTTCTCTTTCACAGATCTTTATTACGACACTTGAATACACCGAATTACACGCATGAGCGCTTATTCGACATCTTATTCGCCGCATCTCTCTGCCGTTAATTGACGGTCGTCGATTAACGATGACGAATTCGATCTGTTTACGTCGACTTTGATCGAGTGTAGCGTATAGATCGTGGCTCATCGACATAAAATGTAACGAGACTTCTGTACTTTGTAATTCGTACGGATTCATGTTAATGGTCAACGGCGTTTATACATGTCTTACAACCGATTATGATCTAATGACTCACCTTCATTGATTGCCGCGCAAAGCTCGATAATTCTGTTGCAAAATGACGAAAATTCTCGAGTATCTACTTTACGTGAAATTTCTGTGAACTTTGTCGACCGTTGGAAACCGTTGTTATTCTGCAACTTGAAAAGGAAAATAAGTATTTTCGACGAATTAATTTTCCTTTGCCTATAAGAATGACGCTTGGTCTTTCTTTCAAGAATTTTAATTACGCCGGTTTCGAAACATTGAATTTAAATTTAAATCAGAAGTGGTTTGGAATAAAAGAAGAATTGACTTGGCTTAAAATAATTTTATGCCGTATAAAACAATATATTAAATGATATTCTGAGAACGGCAGAATTGTTTGTTGAAACACAAGAATTTTGTGACGTCCTCACATAACAGCTTTTACATATTGTTGGTATAATTTATTAGCGACGTTTCCGTTTGATAGCACGCAGCTCAATTAACTCGCGTCATAATCTTTTTTGGCGTAACCCTCACCTCGGCATTGGTCCCGCGATTCGTCCTTCGGTTATTTCCGTGAAAATTTGGCAGAGTATCTGCTAATATACATTAGCAGTTACAGGACATGCTTTGGCAAATATCTCCGGAGCGTCAATTAACGATTGCCGTAGCGTCTTTATTCGATTATCACGGCGATATTTAGACGCGCTACAAAACATAGTATAACATTGTATAAAATACTATATAATATATGCAATTCTTCTAGGAACATTTGCCCTTAAATTAATAATAGATTCCGTGATCCGGAATCGATTATACTCATTGTCAGTGGAATTCTTCGCGAATAGGGGAAGACTGAAACTTTTAGAATTTTAATTTAAAGCTTCAGTTACGCAGATATATAATTTTAATGAAAAAAGAAACGCATAGTTGCGGTAAACAATGCCTAACCATATTTTTAGAAATAATTTCTACAGGCAAATTGAGATTTTCAGTTTGTAATTAAAATTAAAAATACAGATTTTTAGATGTTTATAACGTATAAGAAATATTGAATATAACATAATACGAGATATGTTATTACACAACATTTTATCGTCTGTCTCGCCTTTATTGACACCGCAATATAGTACCATGTAATAATAGTCTAATACGTCTCTTTATTCTTTCAGCTCGCTTTGGGAAGCGTCACATGGTGACTTTCATGATATTCCTTGGTATGGCGAACGCCTACATAATGAGGACCAATATGTCTGTGGCTATTGTCGCGATGGTCAATCATACTGCTATCAAGAACCCTGATGAGGAGATAGAAATCGTGGATGAGTGCGGACAGAATATCAATGAAACCGGCGCTGCCGATCGCGTGAGTAAAACAAAATTCTGCAGTTCTTTTTTTATTGTGAAATTTCGAGAGTTCAGTAGGTAGGAACTGAAAAATGTGTGTCCTCCGTCTTTGCAGAGCGCCGACGGACCATTTGTCTGGGACAACAAGCAGCAAGGCTATCTCTTAAGCTCATTTTTCTGGGGCTACGTTATAACGCAGATACCGTTCGGTATACTTGCCAAGCGTTACGGCGCCAAGTACTTCCTCGGGGTCGGCATGCTGATCAATTCGCTTTTCGGACTGCTAGTTCCAGTGTCCGCGTACTGGGGATATTGGCCCCTGGTAATCGTTCGTTTCATTCAGGGTTTAGGAGAGGTAAGTAACATCTAGAAAATCCCTCACCATTACGATACAATATAATAGTTTGATTGAGACTCGAGAAGAGCGAGCGAAGATGAGAATGTGTGATGTTTCGGGATCGGTTATCTGTTGTGTCCAAATACATACTTTGCTACTTGCAAACAACTTTCATTCGTTCGTAAGTATAAAGTTCACGAATTAATTGAAAAAAAAATTTGATAAAGAATTATTTTATTTCAGTTCTTGTCTTCTACATTATGCATTGTCTTGAAAAAACTTTGATCAATAAGATAAGAGTCTCTGTGTATTCGCAGAGATAGATATTTCTTACATTAGCTTTAGCATTATTATTACATTAACATATAATAATATAAGTAATTATAGTCATAATCTTAAAGGATTACTGATCCGTTTGAGTGTGAACGTTTTTTGATTGCACGGGTGTATTTCCTTCCCCCTAGGAATGGATTAATCCCTATTGCAGGGTCCTATTGTGCCTTGCACGCACGCAATGCTGGCGAAGTGGATACCGCCTAACGAACGGAGCAGGATGGGTGCCTTTGTTTATGCCGGTAAGCTCGTTCAATGCGATTTCTTCTTCCTTTATGTAGCGATTTGTCGCGTATACCGAGTCGAGAGCTAGTTCGCCGCGCGAGAATCCTCTCTGTCTCTGGGGCATTTCGAGTCTGCATCGAGTCGCTACTGTGGGTGCGCGCGCTTCTTGCTGCGGCGGGATTTGTGGACCGTGGACCTTTTCAATTTCTTGAGTTATCTTCATTTTTAACCATTCACTCCCACAAGGTCTTTTTTTTGTTGGTAAAAATAGAAAGAGCATAAGGATGATTGGACGCCTGATGACGATAACTAATCACATTTTTTTTGCATGTTTCTCTCTTCCCATCGATAGGCGCACAATTCGGCACGATAATATCCATGCCGTTGAGCGGTCTGTTGGCCGACTGGCAATTAGTAGGCGGTTGGCCATCTATTTTCTACGTGTTTGGTGTTATCGGTACCGTCTGGTGCATAGCGTTTCTCATATGGGTCTATGAGGATCCCGAGCAACATCCAAGCATCACAGAAGACGAGAAGAAGCTCATACTCAGCTCTCTCTGGGGTAGCGCCGGCATTTCCGTGAGTTCCTTTCGCATTTCTTCGCTGTTAATTAATTTATCTCAATATTTATCTCAATTTATCACGTTAATCGAAATATTTATTTTAATCTCTATCGCCTGTTGTAATAATATATCTCTTTTAGTAGCCAAACTGAGAAAACTAATATTCTCTCTTCTTTTAGTCATCGCCTCCCGTGCCTTGGAAGGCCATTGCAACTTCGCTACCATTTTGGGCTATCTTGATGGCGCACATGGGTCAGAATTATGGATATGAAACGTTGATGACTCAGCTTCCGACATTTATGAAACAGATTCTCCATTTCACTATCCAGAAAGTGAGTGATATATTTAAATTGGAGGGAAAAGAGTTTTCCACAGTTTCCCCGCACAAAGCTAATCGTTTGTCTGTATGGTTTCAGAATGGTATCTATTCGGCACTTCCATACTTTGCCATGTGGCTCTTTTCCATGTTTATCTCTCACGTCGCGGATTGGATGATCTCTTCGGGAAAATTTACTCACACTGTGACTCGCAAGATCGTTAACAGCCTCGGCCAGTTTTCACCGGCTTTGGCATTGATTGCTGCTTCGTATACCGGTTGCAATGCCTGGTTGACAGTAACCATTATTACAGTAGGCGTCGGTCTGAATGGCGCTATTTATTCAGGTTTTAAAGTAAATCACCTCGACATCTCTCCGAGGTTTGCTGGGATCTTAATGTCCTTCACAAATTGTATCGCCAATCTCGCTGGACTTCTCGCGCCGATTACCGTTGGAGAGGTTATTGCTAAATCGGTAAATATATATGTAATTGGTCTCTTAAAACTCTAATTAATTAAGTAATTGAACATACAATATCTATGTGATGCTATTATTTTCAGCCATCGCATGCCAAATGGAGGATCGTGTTTATGATCTGCGCTGGTATTTATATCTTTTGTGCGACATTCTACGCAATTTTCGGTTCTGGTCAAAGGCAAGCATGGGACAATCCAGATAAAGATGACGACAAGAACGAGAAGAATGAACTGGACGGTGTAAGAATTGTGAACGAGACTCAACATTGACAAGTGAATATTTTATCGATAAGAGTCAGTGATGATGCGAGGAAATTAACACTGACGACGTGACAATTGTGTCCACTTGGCCATTTCTGTTTATGCACATTCATTCCCTCCCTATTATTTAGCCATTCGAAACAAATCGAGTACATTAAGACATTTAAGTTAATCTCAGAATTGTATTTTTCTTTTTCTTTTTACCGTAATAATATAAAATTTTTCATGCTAATTGTCACAATTCGCGTTGTAGGTATGTCTTCATACTTTTGTATTGGATTGCAAAAGTTGTACATCAATTGCTTTAATGTTATATTGTGAGTTTTGTGTGAAAGACAATTCGTATGTGTAAGAAAGAAAGAGGAAGCGAGAGAGAGAGAGAGAGAGAGAGAGAGAGAGAAAGGTATATGTAGAATATACTCATAACCAAGCTACCGTTATAAGCTTCGGTTCACGTCATTTGTTGTATTTTATAATTTATAAATTTTTACATAATAATTTCGCGTATTATGTAGAATTAGAAAGTCGCACTTCAAGAACTGGCATGTTAGAGAAACGATGGGAGAGATGATTCTCAAAAGAAATTAAAAAAAAACGAAAACTATAACTTGTAGATAAGCAAATTTCCATGAACTTACCGGAGATGTCATGACAACAAATAAATCAAAGCGGGTATGATTTTGACGGGATTATAAAAACCGTTACATTGTTTCTTAATTGTATATCGAAAGTATCTGTACAATTAAGATGTTTAAATTGAAAATTAATTAAATTGTATATCGCTGTTTGAATATACGAATGCGAGAGAAACAGTTTAAGTTTTTTAAGCGCAATATTAAACTTATTTGTGATATACGGCATTGTTATTCGCGCAACATTAGCTTTAACAGAGTCGATATACGACGTTTATCCCAATAGCATCTGCAATCTCGTTCCACATTCGAATAAAACTTTTTAATCTCGGTCTTCCTACTTTGTAATAGCGCATTAGCTGCTTTGCTATTTTTTTTTTAATGGGATGTATGCGCTAAGATTCATAGGATAGATTTAATTAGATTCACGATGATCATGTTGGAGAAGGATTTGTCCTAGTGTTTCCCAATGCTTATCTTCAGGGTAGATTTCGTTGTTTGTAACCTGACAAACTTGTGGCAGCAGTATTAGAGCAAAGGTCCTCATCGTTCATCTTTTTTTAATACATCACTTTTTACTGTAACTACTGCCATTTTGTATTGCGTGCGTGGCTTGGGTGAAAAGGGTGATAATAACGACAAATCCCATTTTTGTCGCGGGGCGAGGGAGAGGCCGAAGGCCTTTACCTGTAATCGAGGCGTTGCAAACAGCACAGTGTATACAATACAAGAATGGTGTTTATACATATTGTAGATATTTGCGCGTAAGAACCCTATTAAGTTATAGTTGTAGGTATTAGATGAGTTACTGCTCATAGTTATTTATATAGCGTTCACAAAGAACAAGAAAAGAATTACCGCCAGCCTAAAATAGAAATTATCAAACTGAATGTTTTCGCACTTATACATATAGTAGAAAGCATTTTTTTTTCATATTTGATAAGCCTCTTTTTTTCATAAGCTGCACAAACCGAACGATAAATCTGACGACAATTGTAATTTCTTTTTCTATACGGTCTCGAGTATCGAGGCTACCTAATGAAATACGTAATCGCGCTACACGCTCGCGAGGATAAGTCTGAAACAATCGAACTGTTTGAAAATGAATTATTAAATCATATGTATTAAAAATATTTGTTGGCTTATTCATCTTGCGATTTTATACGAAAACTTTGGAAATAAGGTAACGGCGTACGTTAATTGTTAGTAGAAGGGAAGATGGATGCGAGTGCGTCCTGTGATCGTGTATCTACAAGTGCCTTCGACAAGTGGCGTTTGTTTTTCTTTTTATAAATAATGTACTCTTAAAATAAATTTTCGCGTTACGTCTACGGAGAAAAAAAAGTCAGTGTTTGCGAATATTGTTTTGAACTCTCACAAGTATGCGAATTTCCATGTGAACTTGAGAAGATGTTAATCGAAAATTACTTTACAGCATCTCTTTACTGTAGCTTAACGCGATTAATACAAAAATCATGAATGTAAATCGATTTGAAAATGAATTCGATGGGAGATATAACGAGAAAGTTACCCCACGCTTAGATGATAAAGTAATTTAATGCAAAATTTCGCAAACTCATATTTTTATACAAATATTTATATATAATGTACATACGACGATACACGATGTTACAACACGATGTTAAAACATATTTTTATTGTTGGGATTGTAAAACATATGTGATAATAGAACTGCAAGTGAATAAAATAAGGTACAGCTGTAATAAATGGTTAGTTATTTGTTATTATAGTTTTATTAATATGCTATTTTCTTTATAAAGTTTGTATGAAATGTTTTATAACAAAACGTTTGTATTTCTTTTGGGAACAAAATACTATATCGCTTTAGTAATATAATAGATTCATTCAGCATTGCAGTAGATTGCATCAACCGTGTCCGTATTAACTACATTTTTGGTTGCAAGCGCTCAAAAATAGGGGATTTTTCGAATTTTTTAAAAAAGAAACTGTTGATCCGATCAATTGTTTATTGTTTGTATAAGCTTATTTTATTTATTAACATTTTAATGTAAGATATTTTTTTCAAATTTATTTATTGAAAGTTTTGTTTGTAAATTTCTTTTTTGCGAGATGTCTCAAAAAACCTTTTTCAAAAAACCTTCTCGACCATCTTAACTAGTCTTTGGGTGAAAAAAAAAATAGTCAGATGTAATATAATCTTCACATATATGGCTATTGCGTGAACTATTAGAATGAAGCAAAAAGAAAGATTAGAAAGTAACAAAGTGTGTTGTTCCGAACAATCTAAACATCGAAATGTATTCTCTTATCTAAAACAATACTGACCTGACTTTGGCATATGAAATTTCATATTATTTATTGAATCCTTCAAATTTTTTTAAATATCGTCTATAAAAAAAAGACACTCTATTGACAAAATTACATTTTTTCTATTTCGAATATGATGTATCGCGTATCGCGAATATTACTTTGGATGTTCATTGACATAGATTGATTAATATTCAAAGGGAGATGAAAAATTATCGTTAATTATCGAAACATTTCTGAAAACTATTTTCAAAATATCTATACGTAAGCAGAATTATCCACAAGGTACATATCATTACGTTACATGTAAGAATATTGAGTTTTGGAACTGATTGATCAAATCTCAAGCACTCATTCATAATATATATGCGATATGGTATAATTATGGTCCTTGTAATATAAATAGTCTTCATAATAAATCCTTACAATGAACTATTGTTATTATTATAAAATAGCAAGATACTTGGCGCTGATTTTTCTCATCCTCATTCTCTTGCTTCTCTTGCAAAGGAAGAGACACATGGATATAAAATAAAAAGTTACTTTGTTCGACGTAAAATCTCTTGATACAGAATTGCAGGTACCTAATCTGTGATAAGGAGTAATGTTAAGCACCTCTAATTTGGCTAATGTCAGAAATTAATCTTTTTTTTTTAGCTATATAAGATCAAATGTTGCTTAATTGTCATCAGTGACTCATCTTTCCTCCTTCCTAAAAGTTCTTGTTTGTTACTTCTTCGGTAACTGTATTGTGTTTACAATTTTCGCAATCAAATTAACTTTACTGGATAATGAAAAGGATATGCAGGAATAGTTCTGCCACATGATAAAAAATAAATGTTATGTATGAAATAAATATTATTTATTTATTTCAGCATTTGTTCTACATAATTTTTATTTTAATAAGATCGAAGTCACGTTCATGATCGAGATCGAGATCACATTCTATATCTTAATCAAGATCTGGCACAATTGCCAGATCCAGATATTCATCGCGTTCGAAATCCCGATCTAGATCAAGATCTAGAAGATCCGGACGGATCCAGCGTGATCTGTAACCTTTGATTTTATTTTGACATATTCTTTCATGTTGATAAAATTTTAGAAAAATTATTATTGTTACAATTAGAGAAATTAATATGTACTAATATAAACGAGCTAAATGCACTAACATATGTACTAACATAAACTAACATAAACTATAAAATGTAAATAAATGTATATTAATATAAACTAATATTTACTTAGATATCAATTTATAACACAGAATCGATATTACTAAACCAATCAAAGAATTTCATGACATATTTTCGTTTATTATAATTTTACAAAAAATACATAAAAACAAGGTAAAATCTAATAATATAATTTTAATTATTTTATTATTTTTAGGTGCATTATGCTTACGTACGTCATCTAATGCACGAAAATCTGAAAATCTGATTGATTAATATTACTTTTCAATAATATGTCATTAGTAATATCTGTGTAAAAAATCAAGTATTATGTGTATCAGATATTAAAAATTTCTTTCAAAAATATATATTGACGATATTTGACGTTTGTTACAGACACATATAATAAAATTGTGTGCTGGTAATTTACCACTTCCTCTTTATAAAAATACAGGTATCTATATCCATATCGGTACAAAAAATTGATTAGACAATTACTTTGGAATTAAGTTCGTCATTGAGAAACATTATTGTAGAAATTATTTTTTTCATAATTTTGAATTTTTGCGTTCTCCCTCGGGAGTTATAGTTTATTTTTCGGATGAATTGGATAGTTACGATAAACGTATACGATATTTTTACTAATTCATCTTTGTCAACGATTTATCCGACAGAAATGTAAAGTTTATACTTGTTGCAGTAAAAGTTTGAAAGGCCAGTACAATATTTTAATTATTGTTAATACGTCATGATTTCCTTAAAAATCCATTTTACCGTATACAGGTATTATCCTGATACAAACAGAAAGAATTATAATAACGTTATTCAAATAATATTATTATACTAAATTTTAACATTATTAAATAAGAACTGGCCAATGCGTGCTTTATTTTTATGAAATACGTAAAATATATGACTAAAAAATTAATGCATTTAAAAATAAACTACTTGAATTTATTATGAAAGTTACCTTTTTCCCTTCAGTTTATTGAGCTCACCAAGTAGAAACGGAGCTAAACCTAGCGCTGCATAAGGGTCATCGATATTGTGCGCTTTTAAAATCACGGTCGCCATTTGAACTTCTATCCAATTTTTACCTAGCGGAAGTAATTCGTCAATCAAGTTTCTTCGTATGCCATTTGAATTAATATACGTTGCATATTCTTTCACGAGAATTTCCAATTCATTGAGTGAAGTCGTTTGTGTTCTAATATCTCGGACTGAACAATTACCATCCATAGCTTGGACCTCCTAAGAATTGAGAATATTTATATAAAACATATTTTTATATACTTATAAAATAGACGTAATCTTTTTTTTTCCGGATAAAATATCGATCTAATTAAACAATTAGATCAAAACGTGAGAAACAATAATTTACAATTGGTAATTATAGAAAAGCACTTGTTTACTTACGTAAACTTTTATATCTTTATTCCATGCTTTGATAGCTGCTGCAATACCCGTTGTTAATCCGCAACCATTTATCATCGTTGGCAGCATCACTACATCAGGCTTTATATCTTCCATCATTTCGATGCCTAAGGAAGCTTGGCCAAGGATTATATCTGGATGATCATTCCTATCCGTAACATATTGTTGGATAAGTCAAAAAATAAGATAAAATTGCTTAAAAAAAAACATGCATTCATTGATAATAAAATATTCTTATATGTTATGTAATAATTAATGTTCCTTAATTTGACTAAATTTGAATAATAGAGTTTTTATCGTATACAGGAAATAATTAACAAAAATGTTATTTTATAACGAGAGGATATTTTAACTTATTATATTTTAATACCTGTCAATATAAACCAAGCCTTTTGTCTTGGCAATGCCCAAAGCGAATTGATGAGCTTCAAGCATATTCTTACCCTCGACGTGTACTGTTACTCGTGAATTTGCATCATCTGCATGATCTGATGATAAATCTCGAAACATCCGGACTATTTCATCTGGCGTTGTTGTCGGCACCACAACAGTCACCGGTATTCGAAATTTCTTTCCGTAATAGCAAAGAATTTGAGCGAAATTTCCCGTTGAGATTGCTATTACTCCCTTCAGGCCCTTCTTTTTTTGCTTTTTCGATAACTGTAGCAGTAAGCAGAGTATAGATCACGCCACGTGCTTTGACACTGCTCGTTGTTTCTTGCTCAGTCTCTTTCTTCAGATATATACGGAATACCTCACCTGTGATTGATACTAAAACAATTATCAGTTAATGAGAAGCGATTAATGATTATCTTAAGCCATTCTTTAATAATATTGTGTATTACAATGCCAATGCCTGGATCAAAGTTAGATATACATATATATTATGTATTATAATTCTCGTGTAACATTAATAAATCATTATTTAAAATAATTCTGGATTTTCCATTAATTTATATGGTCTAAAGCTTATTTCACTCGACATTTTATAGATTTATATTGAATTAAATTTATTTTATAGATTCATATATATATTCATAATATAGGTGTAATGGCTTGTTAATATATGTATAAAATAAAAAAATACTTCGTATACTTATTATTCTTTTTTTTCGAATTTTCGTGTAGATTTTGAAATCTATGAATTTTAACATTATTGCAGTTTTGAGAAATTGATAACAACAGTTTTGAATATTTGGTCAATTTTTATTTAAAGTTATGATGCGTAACGTTAAGTTAAACATATTTATTACCTTATGTAATGGTGTTTTCAAAACACCAAAATGGTGTTCTCTTGTTTGAGACAGTACCGATGTGAGTGTGCTGCGCGAGATTTTCTGTTCTTCCTCTGGTTTTGTTTTCTTAAAGCCCTTTTCAATTACCGTCTATAAAAATAATATACTAAATTAACAAAATTGCATTTTTCTCATTTTTCGAATGTATTACAGTACACCGCGTATCGCGAATATTGGTTTTAATATGTATTATTGAATTAACATTCGAATGCTTTAAATATTTCTTCCATGTAATTCTGAAAACTACTTTCAAAATATAGATTTATACTGTCACACATACCCATCGGTGTACACTGTGTATATTAAGCTTTGAAATTATAATTAATCAAATCTAAAATACCCATTCGGAATCGAAGTGATCCTCGCGTCGTAAAAGTGGGCGGATAATATTGTAAGAAAATGACAAGACATTCTCTATTGTCGATTCCGGATTTGGAGATGACAAGGCATCTTTTTTTTATCAATTTTCTTCTTTTCTTTATCACTGTCAATTTCCTACTCTTCTTACTCACTGGAGAAGACATGAATATA